TGCTCTGCCACTTGAGCCACAGTGCCACTTCTGGCTTTTTCTGCTTATGTGGTGCTGAGGAATCGAACCCAGGACCTCATGCATGCAAGGCAAGCACTCTACCACTGAATCACCTTCCCAGAAATTTACTCCTGTCTTCTCTCCTCTCCCTTTAATTCATACTTCTGCCTCAACTTCTCCCAGTTCTAGGACTGCAGGTGTGCATCACAATTGGCTCAGAAATTCCAGTCTTTATCACTGAGTTTTGCAAGAACATAATTAAAACATCAGTGCATTATTTTTCTTAAGGGGAGGGCTCCCAACTTCCCTCTACTGTCAAGTCCTTGATGGATTAGTTCTATAATACATAGCTATTTCCCTGACTTTAATATTCTAGGAAGTTTCACTAAATTATTCCTATGACTCTTTCCCTCATCTTTGAACACATTTATCTTTACTACTAGCTGTTTTGCTTTCTTTTCTACCTCTATGTCTGAATTTTTGACAAGGTCCTGTTTTCAGATGTACTGTTCAAAAGGATCAGATAAGCTTCACAAAGCACTATCTAGTCTTAACAGCAATGATGGGAGGATTGTTTGTGGCAGGGATATTTAGGAATGGTATAAGCATGGTAAGAATACCACTTAAGTCACAATAGGAGCCTTGATATAATCTTTAGACTCATTTTGGTAACTTGCCTTTCTGACATCTCATTTTTATATGTTTGACTTTTAGATGGCTATTCATATGAAAAAGAAGCAATAGAAAATTGGATCAGCAAAAAGAAACGTACAAGTCCCATGACAAATCTTGTCCTTACTTCAGTGGTACTTACACCAAACAGAACTCTGAAAATGGCCATCAACCGATGGCTAGAGACAAATCAAAAATAAAGTTGTTGGGCTGGGCGTGGTGGTGTAGTGTAACCCCCAGCTTCTTGGGAGGCAGAGGTAGAAGGACCACCTCCGCCTGATTGCCTTACTCAAGGCCAGCCTGAGGAAAGTTGACGCAAGAACCTATTTGAAAGACCAACTACAAAAGGGCTGGGGCATGGCTCAGCTATTATATAGCTTGCTAGCAAACACAAGGTCCTGAGTTCAAACCCTAGTATTGCAACAACCAAAAATTAGTGATCTTGCTTGAATGATTTAAAGGTAAACATGGATTAAAATCAAATTAACCTCTCTACAAAAATAGTGTGAGGATTCCAGTTAGGATGCCTTTGCATCCTAAATATGGAATATCAAAACAGAAGGAAAAAGGTAAGCAAATTAAAACTAGTCACATAAAAATTGTCACTTTACATTCTTTAAACAAATGGACTGAATTACACTAATTTTATCCTTTTTACTATAGAGTATATATCTTTTTGTACCTGTGAAAAAGACTATGTAGAAATAAAATTTCACTGTGGTTTTAAATTGTAATTCTCAATTTTTTTTTCTTGCTGGGTATAGGTGGTTTCTTGGTATAACAAGAGTGGACTCCTCTAGATACTTTTGAGTTTATACTTTCATTTATTCAAATATATTAAATATGCAATTTTGATGGATTCTAAGTTTGCAATATAGTGAAGAGTTTTTCTCTTTTGATCAAACCCAGATACTAGATAGGTAAACACCAGATAGACTTTGTGGTAGAATTGTTAGAATTCTTAGAAGTTCTCATTAGTATACAATAGCCTGATATTTAATAGATCACCTATCACCCTGACTAACATCCACTCAGAAGTTCAAGTTCAGAAAGGAAAGCTGTTGTGACTTCTCACATACCTGATACAGGCTGATTTGCTCAAATGGGAGGCTTGTTGGAACAACAGCACAAGTGCAGGCAGGGACCAGGATGCTTACCTCTGCACAATGAGCCCAAAACTTCCTGGAATTTTCAAGAATATTCAAATTCAAAAGACTGGGGAAAGCAATGTATTTCATAAATTTATAGCTAACATAGCAGATGGTCACAGGAAAGTAGTAAACTTGCCTACTACAAAAATGTCCCAGGATCCATCATACTGCTTTGTAAGATCTGTAACCTAATGGCTCTGTTGCCTTCATCCTAACTAGAATCCTCATACTGTTTTGATAGAGAGGTTAATAATTCTTGTTTGCACATTACAAAAACTTCTCTCATTATTGTAGACAAAAAAAAAAAAAGGAAAAAGGTTGGAAATAGGTGTCCTTTGACAAGTGTATTCTGTAAAGCAAGTATTCTAACATTCAGGGAAGTTTTTTTTTTAATAGACCACCACTAGCTAGCACAATATCATTTTGCTTCGATAAGTAACAGACATATTCCAAAGGATCAATGAAAATCAGTGTTAAAAATTAATTCTAAAGTAGGTTTTGCAGACGTGTTTTTTCAAAAAAGGCATTTTTAACCCGGCTGTGGTGACTCACGCCTGTAATCCTAGCTACTCAGGAAGTTGAGATCTGAGGATCAAGATTTGAAGCCAGCCTGGGTAGAAAAGTCCCTGTGAGACTCATCTCCAATTAACCACTCAAAAACTACAACTGGTGCTGTGGCTCAAAGTAGTAGAGCACTAGGCTTGGGCAAAATAGCTCAGAGACAGCACCCAGGCCCTGAGTTCAAGCCCCATGATGAGGGGAAAACAAAACAACCCAAACATTTCGCTTTCTATAGTTTCTTGTAAAGGAGTAATTTTCCAAATTTAAACACCTGTTTTATACAAACACACAAATCAAAGCCAAACAACCCCATCTTCCAAACATGTAGACAAAAACCAAGCCTGAGGCCATCTATAGAAAGGGTCAAAACATAGGCCCTAAGTCCCAGCACTGGTCAGGATCATTAGAAGCACTGCCCAGTGCTGCCTGATGTGACCTTCTCAAGAGTTCATTTCTTCCCTCAGTACCTGAGAAAATGTCCTATCAACAATGAAGATAATATTTTATTGATCTCACTATACTGGCTGCTTTACAGAAAATGCAGGACAAGAATTTTGTATTATCAGTATTTCCCCTCCTACCCTATTTTCTTTCAATTTTAAACTTTAAATATCAAAATTTAAAGAACTGAAAATACTTTCCTTAAGCTTCTAGCAATAGCAGTAATGAGACAATGTAAAGTACTATCAGGCTTAAGATTGCAAGTTAGGATTTTTATCAAGACACAGCAATATTAACACACTGCATTGGACCTGAAAATGTGAGCATAAAGAGAAATACCCATTTTAAAGTGAAGATAAAAGATAAATTAGGCTCAACCAAAATAACGGTATTGTGAAAATGTGACTGTTTTTGCCAAAAGGTTTTGAAAGCTGCTGTATTGAAGGTGCTCCATTGTCATTAAAACAGACAAAGCAGATTGCTTTCCTTCACGTTTTTGTCCTATATTTTAGGTAAAAAAGACTTGTGACCATAGGGCATTTTGGAATTTGTAGAAGTTGCCAAACTTACTCTGAAAGTAAGTGAAATTAAATGTGCATTTGGTAAAAGTACTTTTTTTCTGTTTTTTTTTTTTTAAGGTAACCAAGATTACACCGAGGCAGATAGGTTTCATCAGATATTCTCTCCTTATCCATTGAATCAGTGAATGCAACCCAATTCTATTAATAGTCTTTATTCCTATGGAAAAGTACAGTAGTTGTGCAGAAACAAAACTAATGAAAGAGTCAGACTTCCACAATATTAAAGAAAATAAATAAGCCATAGTAGTTATAGCAGAACTCACAGAAAGCCTATAAAAAATGATAAAGCTGTTTGTACAAAGTACACTGTATACACTCAAGAACATTGAAGAATGATACCAGAAGGTTCCCATTCGTACAAAACTGTAATGATCTTCACAAGAACTTTGTAACTATTCATTTAAGAACATTCTGCAAATATAGAACTTCCTTCTCCCCAATTCTAGAAAATAAATTTCACATCTTGACATATAAAACAAGTCCATTCCCATGTCTTTCAAACTAGCATTTTAACATCCTCCAACAACACACCATTTTCATATAAAAATACCTTTAAGCCAAGGCTCATTCCTGTACCTTATCTTTACAAATGAATAATACATCAGCTTGGACTTAAGTAGCACCTCACAGGTGTTCATATAAATGAGATAAAGTGCCGTTACTGGTATACTGTTAACATGCCATAGTAACATATTCAGTGCAACAACCAGCATGAATGAAGCCTAACAAAGAACATGCAAATATGACTGGGGGTGTGTGGTTTGTTTTTGTTTACAGATTAGCTACTTTCAAATAGTTGTATTTACAAATCTGAATAAAACTGGGCTAACTAGTATATACAATGTGACTATGAAGTAATGATTGTATAACAAGAGAGAAGCAACAACCAACCATACCTTAAGTAACCAAAACAAGCATCAACCATACCTTTAGTAACCAAAATAAAAGCAACAACCAAACATACTTAAGTATCCCACTTGGATTTTGGAAAGTACCCAATGTTAAAAACAGTTCTGGAACACATTGATAGCTAGTTTTTAGGTGCCACTAAGAATGCTATTCTCAGTATATTTTAGCCAAGTCTGACTTGACTACTAATCAAGATTGCAAATAGCTTATTTAGCCTGCTTCCACATATTAAAAATACCTTGAAGCATAAACATACTTCCTATAAAGGTCCTATAAAAAAGAGCCATAAAAGTGAAATTATATTTCAATCCCCTCTAAAGGAACTGCAATAAAGGAAATAATTCTTTGATACTCTTATTTTTTATTTAAAGAACAACAGAAAACTATATGATAGTTTCATTTTCTAAAAAAAAATCACTTAGCTCTCTCTCTCTCATAAACATACACAAACACACTGGGGTTTGAATGAGTTTGAACTGTAACTTAAAAAAAAAACTCTACCTTTCCAGAATAATTTGGGCATTATGTGGAGTCAAAATCTATTGCTCTTTTAACAATGGATGTTTTCCTTTAGATAAATACTAATCTTACAACATAGCAATGACTAGGAGAAAAATCAAGTGATTTTGTAATAGAAAAGCAGAGTTAATGCCTTGGCTGTCTTAAATTTTTATTTTGAGATATATATATATATATATATATATATATATATGTATGTATGAGTAATTAGTTTTCAGCTCTGTTTAGCATTCTTATTTATGGTGACTTCTAGCTGCTTAGAAAAGAACTGTTTTCTTACATTTTTAATATGTCAATGGCATCAGATCCACCCTGGAGGATGGAAAAATATGGCTAAAATTTCTTATGATGAAAAAAAAGTTCTGGTAGTATTTACCACCAGGGCCCAACAGGCTTTTCCAATTTTAGACTGCGTCTCTTAAGGCTCACACATTTGACTCTATGAATGAGCGCTTTGGTTTCGCTGAAGTGAGGTGACTTCTGTGGGCTTCATTAGTGCTGTGAGGTGGCTGCTTGGGGATGCTTTCCTGGTACAGATGAGAAACACTCTTACTTATCCTGATGTCTGGGCAATGGACTGGGATTTGGCACTTGTTTTCTTCTAGTTCCTTCACCGGCGCCCCGTTGTGAACACTTCCACCCAGGGTAGAAACAGAAGAGGGCTTGGCTTGGTGGGAATATCCTGGCTTGAGAGAGGGCTTCTCAGAGTTAGAAGGCTGCAGGCCAGCTGCAGCAGCTGTGTTTGTCAGTAGCCCCTCTGCCACCTGGCAGTGCCAGGTGCGGTTTGGAGGATTGCTCTGCTGCTGGAACCTTGCAGTCTTGTCCATGATTCCCATGAATGGAGTATTGCGTGGCCTGTGCTCGGCAGTTCCACTCTGCACCTGGTTTATAGTTTTGTCTTTAAGTCGAGTATCTGGTCCCTGGACCTTGAAGCCATCTGAAAAACTACTGCTAGAAGTCAGACTACTGGTGGAACTTGACATCTTTATGCTGCTCGACGGAGAACCAGAAGAGCCTGAGCTGGCAAGGGAAGCAGGGTGTCTCATATCACCGCCACTACCTGGTCCACCCTGGCTTGGCGGGGCTACGTCGCCAGCTACAGAGGCGTGAGACAGGAGCCTCTCTGCAGCTTTGACCTTGCTTGGTAACGGGTATGCAGTCCCACTCTCACTGCGCTGCAGCTGGACATTCTGGCTGGGGCCCAGCCGATCCCCAAAGTGTCCACAGCCGGCTCCCATGGCAAAGGGCCCCACTCCCTCTACATGTTGGCTTCTGCCTCCAGCAGCAGCTGCGGGAATCCTACCTGGCATGGGACTTGGGGGGGGATGCTGCGAAGAGACTTGCATTTTTGTGCTATTACTTCTCACAGCACACTGCCCTGAACCCAGATGTTGGTTGGTCTTCACTATCTGTGCCTGTTTGGTGGGCTGCATAACCAAGCCCGGCTGGGCCACAGTTTCCCTCGAGGCCTTGCTGGTTCCTGCCCTGCTCTGTGGTGATACCGGCCTACCTTTGGACTGTAACCCTTCCTGGATGTTTCGAATGTACGGGGAGGGGACAGATGAGGGTGGCTGGGACCTGGGAGGAGGGGAAATGGATTCTTCCTGTGGAGAAGTTTCTTCCTCGTCAGCCTCCTCGAGGTGGAAATGGTCATTTAGCTCAGAAGTTGGGGTGTCCTCTTCATGATCGGAATCATTGGGTGGCGCTGGTGGTGGGCACTGCTGTTTTTGCTGCTGGCTCTTCTGGAGTTGCTTGCATTCCTCTTCCACGCGGGCCAGCAGCCTCTTGATTTCCTGGTTGGTGGGACAGAGTTTCACAGCCTCCTGCAAGTCAGCCAGAGCTGCCACAAATTGCCTTTGTATGAAAACATAAGGTGTATTTACAATCCACAAACAAGCAAACTGCACAGAAGAAAGAAGATAGCCGAGTGAGGTCCCTGGTCCCTGTTTGGCCCAGTTGATTGGCTAATGGCAGTGCTGTATTCTAGCCCAGATCTGTGTCATTCCAGGGTCCTTTTCTATCTCTATAAATTCTGCCTCCCCCTGGGAGGACTGGGAATGAGGTAGGCATACGTCAGTGGATGACACGATCATGTTAATGTTCTATTTACCAGCTCTCATCACACTTACCTCTAATTCAGAAGTCAGACACTGCCCCCATCCTGAGCCATGGGGCTGGCAGGACTAGGAACTCTAGCCAGGGGAAAGGGGGAAACAACACCCACGGAGACAATAAAAGGCTTGTTAACAACACCCACCACAAGCCTCTTAGAAGATACTTAGCATTAAAAGCGGGACGAGAGGCATCTGATTAACCTTGATGAAACAAAACTTTCTCAAACTCAATTAGCAAGTTTTATCCCAGCAAGCAAAGCTCATCTGGTCAGGTGGGTGATCCCAGACAGTACCTGCTATTTCTCTTTGCTCTTGCTCTTGCATAAAAAGCTTCATACGACTTGGGTTTCAGTTCCAGAGCCTTTGATGCAAATTCTTCTGCCATGCCAAAGTCCTGGTATAAAGAGTTAAACACACGAGTCAGAGGCATCATAGAAACAAGCACAGCCAGTGCTTCCTTGCTGTTGCTCTAAAGGGCAGCAGTGCATTGGGATCTAAGGAGAGAAGGCAGCTGTCCTAGAGCAACTTTTTACTCAAGGCTAATACTCTATCACTTGAGCCACACAGCACCATTTCTAGCTTTTTCTGTGATTAATTCGGAGATAAGTCTTATAGACTTCTCTGCCTGGGCTAGATCCTCAGATCTCACCCTCCTGAGTAGTTAGGATTATAGGCATGAGCCACTGACGCCTGACTGATGACTCTTAAGAATGCAGAAGAGAAACAGTGACTGACAACTAGAGAGAGAAGGGTACTGGAAGCAGCGAGATGAAAGGGTGGGAGCCTGCAGGGGAGACGGCTGGAAGGACTTGTGGTGGTACGAATGTCCGCCATCTCCCCATCTGCTCCAGCAAGAAGGCAGGCAGGCTCTGTGCCCATGGAAGCAGGAAGTTCAGACTGGGTAGATGCACTTTAAAAAAAATAGAGAAAAGTACCCAAATATCTGGCAGTGACAAAGTAACACGAGTTAACCATCACTAGTTACAAATAAACTACTCACAGGCAGGCCCACTTAGCTAATCTAAAGAACATGAGGCAGGTGGTTATAGCACATTCCTGTGACTTTTCAACTCTTGGGGGAAGCAGCTGTTGAACTGGTGACATGGTTGGCACTCTCACTGCTTGGAAGTCACAGGCACAGTTTGGCATTTGCATCTTATTACTAAAAAGCAGAGGAAACTAGACCCAGGCATATCCCACCAACACCCAGGGGGTGAGTAGTCACCTTGACCTTCAGGAGGTCCCTGGAGACCAGGAGCTCCCCACAGGCCAGCTTCACATGCTGTGTGCCTCAGTCACACAGACTGTGTCAGGAGCTGGCTTTTACACCACTGTCACAGGCCCACAGATAAAGTACTAGGTGGAGATCATGGGGCCCAGCTTACATTTGTTTTTCTTCGGCATCGAGACAAATTGAGATAGAGGGAAACTCTCAGTTCATTGAATGGTCTCATGTCCTCCCCGACTCCTTCTCGAGGAAACTTCCTCAATGCATACTGGTACCGCTGGGCTGCCTCTTTCATCTTTCCTTTCTAGGAGTCAAAAAGCACAGGTGAAAAAGCCCCCACCCCTCAAAGATGCCTTGCAGAATCATCACAGTGTATCCAAGGATTCAGGAAGTGTCCAAACTCGGTCACTACCCTGTCTTAATGTACTTGAGCCTCCCTGTGCTATGTACACCTGTGACATGTTGGTTGGTCACACCGTAAGGAAGAGGACAGCTTTACAAGGAAGTGTTTGTAAATCGCCAAATTGCTAACTATCTATCTTAATGCGCCAGCTTATCTTCTCAGTTATATATTTTTAAATTATTTCAAGAGCAATCTCATCTAAAGATGTTTTAATGCCAACTGCAACAGAAATATGAAAAAATGATAGTTTCCAAGACAAGCAGAGTCTTGTGGATAAACCTAAAGATTGTTACAGAATTATAATTTGAGGAACTGAAGCACAGCCATTAAAAATCAAGACAGCACCACATCATTTTCAAGGCTAAAGAAATCCATTTGCTCAGTCCGTCCAACTGCACAGCAGGTATGCAAGCCTGCTGAAAATGGCCTGCTATTTCTGACATAATTGCCTACCAAAATCCATATTAAAGCCACTTCAAAGCCACAAGAATACATACTCTACACTCAGTTTCAAACACTGCAAGCTAGGAACCCTGCTGGATCATGCTATATGCCTATTTGTTACTATTAAAGCAACAGCAACAATACAGCAACAAATACAGTAGTAAAAGTGATTAAATAGCCCCCCCATCTCTTAGTTCTATCTTAAGAGCAGATCTGGAAAGAATATTGTAATAAATGGCCTATACGTCTATCTAAACCTAGGTTTGGCCTATCACAGCTCATAGGCCTAATTTGGGCACCACCTAAGTTTATAGTTGTATTGGAACACAGCCCTGTTCCTTCGTTTATGCATTACTCATGGATGCTTTGGTACCACCAGAGAAGATCTGAATAGTTGTGCAAGATCACTGAATCTGTAAAGCCTAAAACACTATCTGGCACTTTTTTTCAGAAAATTTGCTGATCTCTGATCTAAGCTTATGTCTCATTTTGGAAAAATTAAAGTCAGGTTTATCAATCTGGAAGTCTTATTTCTATTTCCAAAACAAAAGGAGAAAGAAATTGTCTCCTCAGTAATCTCTAGGTTTTTAAAAATCCAAAAATTGTTGCTTTGTATGTCCCTCCCCCACGGCATAACCCCTGTTTTCACTGTATTTGATGTTGCTATAATTTGGGGAGGGGAAGGGAAAAAACAAATTGTTTAAATAGGGATACAGGTGGACCCATTACAACAATGAGATGTACAAGATGCTATGTCAAAAAAAAAACTTTACCATTTAGGCGGGGGGGGGGGGGAGGGGGGGAAGGGGGGGTGGAGGAAGGGGGGGAAGGGGAGGAGGAGGAAGGGGAGAGATAGGTGTATAGTTGGAGAGGGGGGGAGGGAAGGGATGGGAAGGGGGAAAAACAAAGGAGGAGGCAACAATGCTTGATAGGAAATGTACTCATTACCTTGCTCATGTAACTGTAACCCCTCTGTTTTACAATAAAAAAAACTTACTTTAAAAAAAAGAGTATGAAGGCTCAGGGGACTGAATAGCTCTTTTTTTTCAAGAAGCTCTTTTCTACTGCCTCTGGGTAAGCATGTGTCTGAGGATCATGCTCAGTGTTGTGCTCTGAGCTCTAAGCAAATAGGAGCAGCTGACCTAGAGGTGACTTCCCTTCATGCCACAGCCTGGAGTGCTAGAAACACTGCTTTGTAGACACAGAATTGTAGACACAGGTTCTGCTATCATGAGGTAGAGCGCTGGGCGTGACCCAGGTTATTTGGCATCTTTTGGAACTTCCATTAGTGCTATGTGACATGCACAGCTACAGCCATCAAAGACCACACTAAAAGGAAAACTGGGAGTCGGCTGCAACCGCACCAAAAGCGCCACATCACTTACTTTGTACATCACATTTCCTTCCTCCATTAATTTCTGTAAAAGTATAATCAAAATATCAGGTTTGGAAGTGGCCATCGCCCAAGCAGCATTTCCTGCAAAACAAACATGTTTTCAGAGGTGTTTCCAGGGCCCCAAGGGAGAGCATTTCAGTGTGTGGGTCCCCAGCTGCATGACACAGACAAGCAAGGGTCCAGCTGCCAATGTGTCTCGGGTTTCCAGAGAACAACATGGAGGTGGAAGGGAGCAGGACACCCGTGAACTGCATTAGCCTCCAACCTACTTGATGCAGAACCAACCCCAGCTGAGGAAGGTTGCCGGGAACAGCTGTTCTTTTTGTTCGGTTGAAAAAACTAAGAGACAACCAAGGGACCCCATTCCATGTCTCCCCTCCCAGGGGATCTGGAAGAAAATGAAACCTGGTCTGGGAAGACTGTTCTCAGCTCCCCGAGCACCATCGGGCTCAAGTGTGGAGTGCCCAAACCCCCACAAGCTCTGCCTTGATTGTCTAAGTGATCCCAACATGGCTCCCTTGCTCTGTCCCTGCTCAGCTTCTCTCCTGGCCTACATAGGCAGGGTGTGAGGAGCACAGGCTCAGGCGGTCTGGGGCCAAGCCACACGTGGCTCTGGCACTTTTTATGACCTGGGGGAGGTCAGCCAGTTCCCTGGGCCTTGGTTTTCCCATGTGACACAATGGCAACACCATTGTTCGCTTACAGGGATGTGGGAAGGATCAAGTGAAAATGGCAAACTGCTTAGGCCAGTTTCTGATACTGTTAACTCTATACTGACCAATACTATGGCCCCTACTTCCTGAAGACCCTGCCCAGAACTGTGCAGAGCTTACAGATCCAGTATAACACGCCAGTTCAGGGATATTCCAGTTGCTCCTTTCTCCACACACGCTGAATGGTGTGTGACTCTGGTAAGTTGTATGGAGAAGTGCTCCCTGTTTAGGCCACTCTTCTCTATCCTCAAGCAATCCTGCCCCCAAAGCACCTCTTTCCTCTCAGTTCCACGGCAGAGGACCCCAGCCTTGCTCTTCCCCAGAACCACACGGGAACTCTCCAGGGCACAGATGCTCTGCCTGTGTAATACTAGGTCTGAGTCTGATGCCTTGTGGAGGCATCCCAAACTCGCGTGCAGACTCTACTTCTCCACGATAGCCTCTGCTCTCCACCGTGCTGGCACCCGTGGTGTAAGCTGTCTCAACGTTTTGGATGATTGTAATTAAATGAGATGTGAGACAATGGTACTGGAGGGAACGAGGGGCGAGGAAGAATGTTCTCTGTAAATATTGTCTCTTTCTTGCCCTAGAACAGATACTCTCCTCCGAAGCCAACCCTCTCACCCTGCCAAAGAAGTGGGGTTCACTGACCTAATTTGGCTCCTTTTCTGAGGAGTGTGACTACTACAGAAGTGTTTCGACAACCAATGGCTCTGTCCAGGGGGCGCATTCCACTGTGGTCCACATGCTCAATTACGGCTCCCTTGTCCACTAGGTACAGCACCTGTAGCAGTGAAGAGAAAAGAGGCGTGAGGAGCGGCGTGTGGCAGAGCGGCATGTGGCCAGTGCCTGAATCTGCTTTCTGACTTGGGCCTGGGGATCTTGGTTGTGCTCCCCATTTTAGATCCTTCTGCCCATTAAGGATCCTGGAATAGAAATGAACCCTACACACAACTCAGAAAGAGGAGCTAAGCCCTCTCTGTTGACAGAGGGCTTGCTGTCAGTGAGCAGCAAGCATGTTGCACACAGACAGGTGGACACAGGGGCCTGATCTGTCCGTCTGACCCTACTTCCCATAGACAGTATGCAGTACACAGTCACCTGACCTACAGTTAATTAGCAGGAAGGCTTCTGCGATGAGCTCTAATGCTGACAGGCTTTAACAACAGAAACCAAAGAAACACACAGATCCACACAGCCCAGCTGACAAGCTGCAGAGAGGAGCAGCGTGGGACCAGATGGGCCTGATAGACGTCACTTTAAGCCCAAGACAGAGACCTGACAAATACTGGCACTGTAAAGATGACAAATTTGAGGCTAGGGTAAAGATCTGACGTGATTTTAAAAACAGCTGTCATGTGGACTAAATGGCAACAATACGAGGGAAAAAAACACTTGGGTTAAGTTCCTCTAGTTACTGGAAAAGAAGTCTATGGCTTAGATCTGACAGAACATACTTCCTATCAGTTTCCCAACTACTAAATGATACCAGAGGAGTTGTATCCACACATAGATATTACTGAACCTTAAAAAGAAAGGAACTACTGACATGATGAATCACAGAGGAGCTGAGGACAGTAAGCCAAGTGAAGCCTGCCGCCACTGATTCCACTTATGTGAGTTACTCACAGTCGTAAAAATCACAAGAGACAGAAAAAATGAGTAGCCACAGGTTAGGAACGGGGTGAGGGGAATTGGGAAAGGGGAGTATTTAACAGAAGTTTAGTTTTGTAAGATAAAAACAGTTTGGACACTGACTTTGTGGTAACATGAATATATTTAACAACACTGAATACTTAGAAATGGTTGAGATGGTGAGATACATGATGGGGCTTTTTTCCTACAACGAACTTTTAAAAATTCCATCACAATGTGAAATTCTTCCCTGATGTTGATAAAATACAGAATTTGGTAAGGTTGCTAAAAATTGTATAGATATGTGAGATGTGTCCAATTTTTTAAAATTGAGAAGAATAGTTTATAAGGTAAAGGAGATCATTATCCAAGAACTCTTAATATCTCTCTCCCCCACCTCCTTTTTTGGTGATGGTCCTACGGCTTCACCTCAGGGCCTAGGTGATGTCCCTGAGCTTCTTTTGCTCAAGGCTAGTGGTCTACCACTTGAATCACAGCTCTACTTTTGGCCTTTCCAGTGGGTTAGTGGAGGTAAGAGTCCACAGACTTTCCTGCTCAGATTAGCTTCAAACTGTGATCCTAAGATCTGTCTCCTGAGTAGCGAGGATTACTTTCTTGCTCCTCTTTTGATGAGACTGAACCCTCACACGTCTGCCAGCCAAGGCTCTGCTACTGAGTAATGTACCCTCACTGCCCCAGTCCACAGCTGCCAGTATCAGGTGCCCTTCTTGCCAGCTCATCCTCACTTGAGACACTGAACTATGAAAACACAAGTATGACTGCTCCTCTGTCAGCCCGGGGGTCTCGGATGTGCAGCCTGACAAAGACATGTTTCTTCCCCAAAAGACATCATGCAGCTCCTAGTTTAAGGTTATATATCCTGACATCACCAAGATGAACAAAGAAGTAAGCACCCAGAGATTTTTTAAATGTTTTTAGGCCATGCCACTGTGTTAGAAACAAATCAGTAAATATCCACAATGGAATAAAATTAAGCCTTTAAAAAGCAGGAAATCCTGTGATTTAGGACAATTTAGATAACAACTGGAGGACATGATGCTAACTACACCAGACACAGCAAGACAAATAACATATGATCTCACTTATATGGGGAATTTAAACAAGTCTAAGAAGTAGAGCGCTGGTTACCAGAGTTAGGGGTAGGGGGTGGGGAAGGGGTGGATGGAATGGTCAAGGGTCAAAGTTCAGAGGGCAGGGGTTAAGTTCTGAGGATCTATTGTGTAACATAGTAACTATAATAATGGACTGTTTCATATGTGCTGCCAAGTGGTGGCAATCACCTCTGAAAGGAGGAAAACACAGTCCAGGAAGCTTACAGAAGGACTTCTACCGAGTCTTCAACTGAATTTTCTTTAAGTTCTTTTTTAAATCCACCTAATGCAAATGTTGCAAGCTATTAGCATTGTCAGAACCAGGTGGAGGTTCAATGTGTTTGTTACATTTGTCTTTGAATGATTCTGTGTCTTTGGAGTAAATTATAAAGCCATCAAACTCCTAAAAAAAATAATGTACTGTTTCAAAATAGCTAAAAGAGAGGAATCTAAATGTTCTCACCCAAAGAAATAATAAATAACCAAAGCAATAGATTAGCCTGATTTGATTAGTCTCCTATGAACACATGTTCTAAAGCATCCACATTGTGATGTATAACATTTTTGGTCACTTAAAAATAGGAGTGAGGGCTGGGAAGGTGGCTCAGAGCGCTTGCCTTGCATGCCTGAGGCCCTGGGTTTGATTCCTCAGCACCATATAAGCAAAAAGAAAAAAGCCGGAAGTGGCGCTGTGGCTCAAGTGGTAGTTAGCCTTAAGCTGAAAAGCTGATGGACAGCGCCCAGGCCCAGAGTTCAGGCCCCATGACCGGAACCCCCCCCCCCAAAAAAAAAAGTGAATGGCTGGGCCCATGCATCAAGTGGTAGTGCACCTTACTAACAAGTGTAAGGCTCTGAGTTCAAACCTTAGTACTACCAAAATAAATAAGTAAAAATATGAGGCAATAAAGATAAAGTAGCTTATCATTTAACTAGTAATCTCTCATGTGTAGAAGTAAGAATTGTCTGCACAAAGGATACAACTACATGTGAACGAGGCATACACATTCATGGCTATGTCTAAGGTTTGTAAGCAGGTATTTCTAAGTTTTTAACAATACACTGGAATCTTGACTGTAGTCCTGGAATGGATTACATGCCACAGAATTAGGAGTTGAACTATTCTCCTCCCTAGACCCACTATACCACAGCACAGTGTACTACACTCAGGCACAGCTGGTCTCTGAGGATTCTTAACAACTCGGTGGCACCTCTTCCACCAGTGGCTCATGGCAGCTTTCAGGTAGAAGCAAGTGACCATCTTTGGGTACTCACTGTCTCCGCATCGCCATAGAAAGCGGCCAGGTCCAAGGGAGTGCGCCCATTCTTGTCTGTCTGGTCTATCTCAGCTCCTTCTTCAATCAGATACTGGACCACTGTCTTGTGACCTTTCAGACAAGCCCAGCTCAATGCTGACAGGCCCTCTTTGTCCAGAGAAGAGAGGGCGGCACCTGAAAGCAAAGTCCACACCCAGAACTCGAGTCCTGTAAGATTCAAGCCTGGTTGCTGAGGCGTCCACAGCTCAACGCTCCTGCCTGCATGGGCATCAGATTCAGGAGCAGGCCTGTCCAGCACAGAGTTTGAAGCTGATGGTGACAAGGCCATCACTGAAGCAGAGCAATGGGCACAGGAGCTGCGCTTCCTCCTGTCTTTACGTGTGTTAGAAAAGCCCTTTCACAGTCAGGCAAAGTGGATCAAGCCTATCTTTCTAGTTACTTGAGAGACAGAGATCAGGGGATTTCAGGGCATGAGAAGAGCACAGGCCAGAAAAAGAAAAAAAAAATAGAAGAGCTTAGGCTCCACTGAAACCCTAGTTTGAAAAACAACCAATGCAAAAGTAGCTAGTGAAGTAACTCAAGTGAGAGAGCATCTGAACAGCAAGCAGGAGGTCCTTACTTCAAAGCCTAGTACTGTCCAAAAGAAAAAGAAAGGAAAACAAGTTCCTTTAACAAAAGCACATGTTCCGTAACAGACAAAATTGGAAGCAGAAAAAAACAGAGAGCATCTGTTAGAGAAAAACCTACCTTTAGAAAGGAGGAATTCCACAGTACTCAAGTGCCCTTCACAGGCAGCCACCATGAGCGGCGTCCGGCCCTGCTTGTCACTCAGGTTCACGCCACAGCCACGTTCCAACAGCAATCTCACAATCTGGGAGATGCATTAAGCATTAGTCTTCCTTCTGCCTTTTAAGCCACATTCTCTACACACAGGTTTTGCAGGCTTGAAAAGTAGATAAATGACCCCTTGCTTTTCAAACGCACTATAAGCTGTGAGACGTGGGACCCATCCAAGCTTTTTACTGTATTCCTTCCCACAGAACCTTTTCCAGAATATATATTCTTTGACAACCCAGTTCATTACTACAAAAAAGCCCCCACATATCAGGCAGGAATAGTAAGGATATTTGGGCCCTCAGCTCGTATTGAGGTGAAGAATAACCAGCCCTCTGTACCCATGGGTCTCACATTAGTGAATTCAACCAACAGTGTACTGAAAATGCAAAAAAAAAAAAAAGCATTAGTACTAAACACATACAAATAATCTCACTCTTCATTATTCCCTGAACAACAGAATGACTATTTTATATCTCTATCTATCTATCTATCTATCTATCTATCTATCTATCTATCTATCTATCTATCTATCTATCTATCTATCTATCTCAGGCATTATAGATATGTAAGAATGATTTAAAGTACGTGGGAGGATGTAGGTGGGCTATATGCAGATGTTACATCATTTTGTATAAGGAAGTTGAATATTCAGAGTTTGGTATTTGTAGGGTTCCTGGATCTAGTCTCCCACATTAGTGAAAGCCAGAGGACATTTTTCCTATAGTGGACATAATGATATTCCTTTATTTGGCATTGTGTGAATGTAAATCTGGTAGCAGGTATGGGGTATGTGGTCACTATTTCCCAAATGAAGGAATGCTGCAACTCCTAGGATCCCTGGCTCCCTTGAATTAAAGACAGCTATGAAAGAGACAGCATCCTTGAACTGCTCTTTTTCAAATACCCTGGGGACCATTAGGCTATAAAGTAACATAACAGATGTGTGGTAGCAAACCTCTCAACCCCTATCCATCCCTCTGAAGTTAAGGGGCATCTGTGTGGCTCTGCCTGCAGTCTTGCTCCCCGGCCTGTGTGGCTGATTGCTTTCCTGTCAAATGGTCCTAAAGCACAGGCAGACACCAAGGAAGGGGAACAGGACTGGGGCCAAAGGTGACCTCCACAGTAACCTCCACTCCAGGCGCTGCTTCTCATGAACCTGGGGTCCACTGTTACCTGCCAATGGCCCTGGCGGGCTGCACAAAACAGAGGAGGGACCCCTCTCCTGTTGGTCCGTGACACCGCGGCTCCCTGCTCCAGCAGCAGCTCACAGACCTCCAGCTTCCCTCTTCCTGCGGCGGCAGTCAGGGCTGTGGGAAAGCCACAGGAGGAATCACTCGTTACACAAGGGGAGTGCCCACGAGTTCTCAGACACTTCCTCTTCCTTCAAGTCCAGGTGGCTCCGTGACAGCTGTGATCACCAGAGCCCATTGGGAATGAGGTGTGCCAGGGTCTGGACTGGGGCCCGGGAGACAGAGAGCTTGAGCTGCCTTGGAACCCAGATGCCCTGCTGTAAGGATGCCATGCTGTGTTGCACAGTCCCAGGTGAGCTCCTAGTGTATAGCCAGCACAGCTGGCTGACCCTAGACAGGAGCTGTTCCCGAGTCGAGCTCTATCATCTGGAGCTGAAAGGGTACAGCCACCCAGGCCGGCCCACCAGCCTCTGACAAATTGTAAATTCTGGTTTTGATGTCCATAGTGAGACAAAGCAGAATACAGTGTGTCACAAACTCAGTTTAGGTTGTTGTCCAGTCTGGCCTCTTAGCAACAACAAAATCATCACTGAATCTGCCAGGAGGGTATCCCAACACTGCTGCCTGGACAGACCTCAGAATCTAACCAATCAGACTTAAGAGTTAGGAAGTCAAGGAAGAAACATGAGGGTGGCGGGGGACCGACTGTGGTCCTAAGGCTGCCCTGAAACAGGGTAGCTGTAGGATGACCCCAGGACACAACAAAAATACAGAGGAAAAGAGAGGGGCCTGACCCGATCCTAGCCTCTACTATGGACAACAGCCCAGCCTGTCTCAGGCACCAGGACATTGGCTTTTCAGTGGGACAAGAGGATAGGATGGGGCTGAGCGTCCTGGGTGGATGCTACACAGGAAGGAGCAGCACCAAGAAGGGTAATGGCTCCCTCTGGTGCCCACCGTAAGGTGGGGGGAACGGAGGGTCCGCCTTTAATCTGGTTACAGCCACTCCAGCTTCCCATCAGCCTGGCCGTATGAATACACTCACACACGGTGCACACCTAGCTGGGCCCAATGTCCTATGGCAAGCCCCAATTCCTCCACGGAATGAAATCTTGATTGTCCTCTGGACCACAGTGCAGTACGGCCAGCAACTTTACTATTTCACAAGTCACACCTGCCTGATGTCACCAGGCTCCGATCCAAACCCAGGCCTCCTGACAAACGAAGAGGCAGATAGGACTCACAGGAGGGAGCGGGTATACCTACACAGGTGTACCCTGAGTGTGAAGATGAAGCATCTCTCGCTCCTTCCTCAAGGGCACTGCTACTTTACCCTGGTAGGAGTGTGCTCAGCAGTGAGGGCACTGCCGCTCCTTCAGAGCATTCTTCAAGCTGCCTTTCTAAGGGATTTCTGCAGAAGTCCAGGTGGGCTAGGCTAGGCCTCATTCCTGCTGCAGGGAACCTTGGATACAGTTGTTTCTTGCCATCATGACAATGATGATGATCACATGTATGATTCAATAACACAGGGCATGGGCACTTCTGTACTGCAGAGACCAGAATATGCCACATACGAATCTGCCTCTTTGGCAGGATTACTTTGACAAACTGTAGATACAGAAGAAGCTTTGAGGGCCAATGACATCTCTTTAGCAATTCTCCCTTGACAAGGGTTCCCTCTACCCTGGCCAGATTCTACACTGGAGAGCCATCTATGCAAACATTGTTAACATCCTTGCATGGTGCCCCCATCCACCTTGCAGTCAGTTCCACACCCTTAACTTGGTGGGTTTCAGGGCACAGAGGGGTAATAAACCTAAAGCCTAATCCTCCTCTGTAAGACATGTTTACTTCTCTCTACATACCTGAGCTTCACAGGTTATTAAACATCTATGTCATTTAGTATCTGTTGTTGGTAGTAGCCTGTCTGTCTTGAACTAGAAGCTATGGAAGATAGGGTGAAGTTTTTTGTTCTTTTTCTTCCCCTATAATATCCACTATCAAGACTGATCAGAATACAACCCAGTAAGAGTGTGTAGGATGGAAGATCTGGCTTCGAAACTGTTCCCTAAGCCTGCCGATCCTCTCCAAGTTCCCTCTGCCTGGGGAGCCTCTTCCTCCTCCTCTAGTCATCACTGACCAGCAGAAGAAATGAATCAAAGAAGCAGACACGCACAGACACGTTCACATGTGTACACACAGACACAGATGCATGTGTGCTGCAGACAGAGGCAGAACTCCTTGGAAAAGAACACATCAGGACTTTCTTCTGATGAGACTAGAGTAGCCAATGCCCCAGAACATTCTGTCCTTTTATTTGGTAAACAGTCTCATCCCTGTTAGGAACAGGGCTTTTAAACTGAAATTTCTGTTACAGCTGCTACTCATTTTTTGCAACAGCAGTACATCAGAAACGACAGCTTCACACTAAAAATAGTCTGTGTTTTACAGAGGCCTCAGACAAGCCGGAAGTGGGAACAGCTGACAAGCAGATGACAGCTCCACCCCAGGCCTGGAGACTGGGTCGGAATCTACCCTCTCTCACTACAGCCTGTCCTGCCCTGGGCTTGCCAGCTAAGGTCCTTTGCAGGGATTATGAAGCTGTCAGCAGCACAGGCTCACTTTGCTCAGGCTGAAAACAGATCACATTCTACACACAGATTTCTAAGGACACTCATCCACCCATTTTTAGAACAGTCTGATAGATGACAGGACCTGGGTTTCCCTTTTTCTATAAAGTAGATATTTTTGGCCACACCACTATGAACTCTGGGGGTCAGAATGCATCTCAACTTTCAGCTGCTGCCGGGACTTCAAGATACCATATTCGGAAACAAGGGAGATGAAGAATGGCAGACCACGTGATTAAGCAAATAAACTCAGGATAAAAAACTCCCCTCAGGAATTTCAACCATTCTGCTGAGCAGGCTCATCTCTGACCTGAGCCTGACTCTAATGAAGGTCAGTGGTCTTCTTTGCCTATCAGATAAAGATGGGGAAGGGGGCAGGGTTGGAGAAGAGACAGCCCGCCAATGGCCTTGCCTTCTGGACAGCAAAATACAAGGTATGAAATGGAAGCTCTCAAACCAATTGTGAACATGTGGCACTTTTTCAGAGTCACATTGGATACAGTTCTTTCACTTGCAAAATCCTTAACAAGATGGCATTTGTGTAATTAAATTCCCCAGAAAGCACATATCGTTTGCTGGCAATCCCAAATGATGTCACCTCAGCAATACTGTCTTCCATCTTCAGAGCATGAGTAGATTCATCGTGACAGATGTTCATTTTAAGAAAAACCTGACTGACACTCATCCATTTGAACTTATTGAAAACATCACTGAGAAACAGTTCTTTGTATAATAAAATGGATCGTTGCCGGTATCTTTTACATATTATAGTTCTCTGGGAAATTTTGATTTACAAAAAAGAAAAAAATCAGCTGTCAACCTTCCGAGAAGAGTCACTCCATCGACAGGGCTGTTTATAAAACGCTACGGCACATCTGCCACTCAAATGTATAGGATGTGCTACCTGGGCTCAGGCTGGCTCTGCTCAAGTCCTAACCATGGATGTAACTCCCTCCCTCTGCTCCTGGACCCAACCTGGAAAGAAGAGTGGAAGGTCACTATACCCAGAGGCAACTGCACTCTCCTGCAAATCTAAGGCCAAACTGAACACAGGAGCAAAAGTGTGAACCCATTGTTTGTACCTCCTGTAGGTAAGAGGGCAACGTGGGAGAGTAGCTCACTTGTTCATGTGTGTCACTGGTGCAATTCATTTCCTGTTATAGTGGCCATTCCCAGCTTTTAAAAAAGAAGAAAACAAAAGTGCTAATATTTAGAAGTAAGCAGCAGGGTTCTCAGAAATGTGATTTAACTATGGGAGCCATTAGATGCAACAAAGCCAGTGATCTTTGACTCTGGACCGGAGACTCATGAGACACACCCCACTCAATGGTAAAGAAAAGAATCCAAATAATAGCATAATAGGAAATGCTGGAAAATTCTCAGCTATTTAATCTAAAGGTAAAATGTAAACACTAGTGATGGCTTTTCAACCCAGGGAATGAATCCAGTCTTCAACCAATGTCTTAAGACGCTGCAGAATCCAGAGGCTGAGCCTGGCCTGTGCTTTGCTGCCAGGTCACTTGGCACTGGGCCATCACACAGAGGGTCTCAGAGGGGCTAGCCCCCAAGGCCCTATCTGCAAGTAGCGCCTCCTCCAGAGGTGAAACACATGCCTCCATCTTCCAAGGATGAGCTATGAGTTCCAGCTCTTAGAGCTGCTTGTTTGACATTCCCTTCTGTCTTTGTAGGAGGAAAGGTTCCACTAGATAGAAGAACACACTTTCCAAGATCTATACATTCTTTGTCCCTATGAAGCTTGGGCTTGATCTAATCTTCAACAACTTAAAGGACAGAAGGAGAATAAAGATTGCTCATGCTGAACAGCTGGAGGACCGGAGCCAGCCTCCAGTCCACATGAAGCAACTTCTAGAAGGGCTCTGCTCTGCTGTGCTCTAGTGACCTTAAGAATAGAAGTTAATGCTGCCTAACTGCTTTCTCAACCTAACAAGTCCTTGTTGTTCCCTATTGTTCTCCACTGGAAAAACTCTCCTGGGAGAGCCAGGACTCCCACAGGATCATACTGAGCCCTGCAAGGGAAAGCCTGGCTAGAGCCAAGAACAGGGATCAGAGTAAAAAGGGCTACAGCCACACATCCTGTGGAATACACCCCGTCATCACCCTCTGATCTTTTGTTGTTTGAGTACTGGTTGCGTTTTATTTTTCTCCTCGCTGTTGCCATGTTGATATCAAAGTTGCCATCCTCTCCCCTCCACTTCCTCCTAAGTATTGGGATTTAAGACATGTACCACCATGCCTAACTTTATACCCTATTCTATTGAGTTATCTAGGAGAGTTTGAAATTGAGGGAAGGCAGAAACCAAATCTGAGCAACCAGAAGACCCCTGACAGTGTTACAGACGGTGTTATAAACTGTGCTGTCAAGTCTCTGAGCATGGATTGAAAGATGAAATGTGAGCTTCACGGTGCCAAGAACGCCTTAAAAAATAAAATATAGCTGTACAGCCAGTGGACGGACACCGGACACAT